TAGCCTGAGCAGGGAAGAAGCCTGGGCGGGAACCCATTTCCCAAACTGCCTACCACAGCCCTCTTTCTCTTTCCTTAGTTGACCTAAAATGACCAAACTATGGAACACCTGTGTGCTGGTTGCTTTGTGACTTGCAGCAGCCTCTCCCCAAATGGGGAATCCATACTATTATAAAAGGAGAGGTGTCCATCACGCCATCTGTCACAGAACATTTGAGAGGACTTGAGAAGTTTCTTGGGGGAAGCAGGGCCCCATCCCCACCCACAGCCCCACTTCCTCCACGGGGAGGGGAAGAGCCCACCCACACCCCAGCATCTCCAGGGAGGAAAGAGGCTGCACAGCCGGAGCCTCCCCGGCCCCCAGGACAGTGGGGAGGGAGTGGCCCAAGCTTCCCCAGCCCTGGGAACAGCAGAGAGGGGGAGGCCACGTGGCTCCAGCCTCCCCAGCTCCAGAGCAGTGGGAAGGGAGGTGGCCATGCAGCCAAAGCCAGCCCAAGCCTCCCTGCCCCCAGGAACAGAGGTGCAGGAGGAGGCCACATGTATGTCTACCATCACAACAGGACAGGTAATGCTAGTTTAGATAAAACACTATTTTTACGAAGCCAATAACCTGACTGTGTTCATCACTACCCTTCTCACTCTGGTGCCAGCATGGTTCCCATGCACTATCTGGGGTCAACCTCTGAGATGTAGAACTATGAGAAAGGGCAGGGTTTGAGCAAAGGATCAGGAATTAAAAATCCCTTATACCTTATCCTGAAAACACTGATGTATGTGTTAAACTCCACACTTGCAAGTTCTCTGATTACTCCATGTGCACAAAGCTAATTACATGTCAGGGGCAGCCTGAGTTTTAAACCCAGGTCTGACACTGCCCCTCTCGTCAAATCATTTACTTCTCTACCAACACTGTCCCCATGGTGGGGAAAAGATCCACAGGCTCATGGTGAGGAGTTGACAGTGGTTGTAGTAAATCACGCTGGCTGTGTCTAGACTGGCAAGTTTTTCCACAAAAGCACCTGCTTTTGCGGAAAAGCTTGCCAGCTGTCTACACTGGCCACTTGAATTTCCACAAGAACACCGATGATCTCATGTAAGAAATCAATGCTTCTTGCGGAAATACGATGCTGCTCCCGTTGGGGCAAAAGTCCTTTTGCGCAAAAGGGCCAGTGTAGACAGCTCAGATCTGTTTTGCGCAAAAAAGACCTGATCGCGAAAATGGCGAGTGGGGCTTTTTTGCTCAAAAGCGCGTCTAGATTGGCACAGACGCTTTTCCGCAAAAAATGCTTTTGCGGAAAAGCGTCCGTGCCAATCTAGATGCTCTTTTCCGCAAATGCTTTTAACGGAAAACTTTTCCGTTAAAAGCATTTGCGGAAAATCATGCCAGTCTAGATGATACCACAGGTATCCTGGAAAAGCTCTGCTGTGTCCAAGGAATGTGTCCGCTTTTTTGGAACAGTTCCAAAAAAGCAGACACATTCTTTCAGCATCCCTGTATTCCTTATTGTATGAGGAATAAGGGATGTTCCGAAAGAGGAGGTTTTTCCAAATTTTGGCCCTGTGTAGATGGGCCAAATTTCAGAAAAGCCTCTTCTGGAAAAAAAAGCGGAAAAAGATACACAAATTGCAGTTTGCATATCTTTTTCTGACTTTTCTTTGCAGTCTAGAGACATAGCCTAACTCTGAAGCTGAGATGTGAGCACTAATCAGAACGAGGCTGAATGGGAGACATTTCCCTACTAGCTCTAGTGCTTGTGATTATATCATGTCACTGAGTGATTGCTAGCTTTTTTGGATTTCATGCTTTTTGGATTTCATGCTTCTCCTCCCCACTCTCTTGTTTCTATCACTTGGTCTTTGGTTTGTTGAACTCCCCCAGCAATAAAATTTCTCAATTTCAGCCTCTCACTTTTTTGTGACTGGTCTCCCTTCTTTGTCTGGTGGGAGAAGAGATGATGCTACTAAGATACTTATCCCCACCTGCTTCGCCAGGTTTGTATAATTTTTGGTGGTGCCCAGAATGGATCCAAGCACAGCCATCCCATCCCTTGGACAGATGAGGGCAACCACCCTGGGCCCTGTGCTTCAGGGGTTAGCAGGGGGCCTGGCACCAGCAGCAATGAGCAACCTAGTCCCATCCCACCAACTCCCCACATCGCTCAGGAGAGGGTCTGGAAGCTGGAAAGAGGCAGGAAGGAGCAGGGGCAGAGACATGGGGAAAGTGGGACATTCACTGTTGCCAGCCCCATGATCCCCTCTAGCCCCTCCTCCCCCAGGACTCCACATCCTCCTGAAGTTTGGGGGCCCCCAAAACACGAATAGGACAATTCCTCTGAAAACGTAAGCCCAAACCTTAGTGGGCACAGGCCCATGTTCCTGAATATTGGTGGAGCACAGGGCCCATGTAACTTGCCACCTATACCACTGGGTGCAGTTCAGTTCAGTTCTTTCTTGCTGAAACCTCCTACCATTGTCTGAGGTCCTAGGCTTGCTACTATCTGCTCCAGCCTCCAGGTGGTGCTCTTCCCTACTAAATGACTGTGATGAATGAAAGTACAGATGCTGCTGCACAGTGAAACACACAGTACCTCATTAACCAGTCACGGTAGCATCCAGCGCTCAGTGACCAATCAGAGCTGAGGCATGAGGCTGTGGTTCTCCATGGGAGCAGCGACTGGAGAAAGGAATCTCTTTTGCCCCAGGCCATGACACTGTGCCTAGGGTTGCCAGGTGGTTTCAGAAAAAAATACCGGGGGGGGGGGGGGGGGGGGGAACCCCCCCCCCAGAAAAAGGTTGGATTTAAAAAAAAAAAAAAAAAGAGGAGGCTTTTTGGCCCGAACAAGCTGCCGGCGGCCCGCCCACCATCTTGTTTCTCTGCGCCGGGCCTGACAGCTCCCCTGTGGAACCTGGTAAGCACTAGGGTTGCCAGGCTGCCTCTGTATTGAGTCAAACAGCCTGGGATTTGCGCCTCCTCGCTGAGAAAAAAAAATCAGAAAGTACCGTACATTTTAGGTGTCCAATATTTTCTAATTTTTTTTTTTTTACCAGAGAGGAGGTGAAAATAACAGACTGTCTGGTTCAATAGCGGACACCTGGCAACCCTAACTGTGCCCTCAGGTCCACAGCAATCTCACCAAACACAATGGCCTATCCCTCTGGTGGAACCTCCCCTATGGAGCAATGGTTCCTCCTCATCTGGAGTGGTGCTACAGAACATGCAAGGAGTACTGACCCTCTGCACTTCTCCAAGGTCTGCCTAGGGTTGCCAGATGATTTCAGAAAACATAAAGGGCAATGGGCTTATATTGCCTTTCTGCGTTAGCCTGGACAGCTCCCCTGTGGAACCCGGTAAGCACCCGGAGATAGTCCAGGATTTTCGCCTCCTGGCCAGGAAAAATATCAGAAAGTACCAGACATTTTAGGTGTCTGGTATTTTCTGTTTTTTTTTTTTACTGGACAGGAGGCAAAAATACCCAACTGTCTGGTTCAATAACAGACACCTGACTCCCCTAGGCCTGCCCACCCCACTCCCAGAGCAGCACAGCATGAGTTCTACTTTGGTCAGGCAGGGCTTACCCCTTACACAAATGTAACATGCACCTTTTATTTATCTCACTGAGGTTTAACTTTCCTCCTTCAAATGGACTGCAAAGCACAACAGTAACAACCTGCAGCTCATAAGAAGTTTACACCCAAAACAAATCCAGCACCAAGACCTAGGGACAATTATACAGATTACAAAGTCTCCCTATTTTTGATTACATGACATAGTAGGAGAGGATGTAGTTTCTACTATGGCCTCTCCTATTGGGATTTTTAGGCCAGAACACAGTGCTTTATCATTAATCGTGTTTATTACAGTGGAGTCCAAGGACCAACCAACAGAAGGACACTACAGGCAGTCCCCGGGTTACGTACAAGATAGGGACTGTAGGTTTGTTCTTAAGTTGAATCTGTATGTAAGTCGGAACTGGCGTCAGCCGCTGCTGAAACTGATCAGTTTCAACTGCGGCTGAATCTGGATGCCAATTCTGACTTACATACAGATTCAACTTAAGAAACCCAGGCGTCCCCAAGTCAGCTGCTGCTGAAACTGATCAGCGGCTGATTCCAGGAAGCCTGGGGCAGAGGATGCCTGGGGCAGAGCAGCTGGGGTGCTGCTGGGATGCTCCAGTAGCGCGGCTCCTGGGCGCTACTGGAGCAACCCAGCAACACCCCAGCTGCTCTGCCCCAGGCATCCTGATTCAGCCGCTGCTGAAGATGAGGGGGCTGAAGATGACAGGTCAGGGGAGAGGTTAAAAGGGGCAGGTGTGGAGGCCGAGTTTAAACCCCGCAGTTTAGACATACCCTCACCTGTTCATGGATTGCTCTGCAGCTGAGGCAGGAGATAGGTGTCTTCAGGGAATCAGCATGGTCCACACTCAGAGGAAGGAACATAGGCATGTAGGGAACTTGTGCAGCAAAAACCTGGGCATCAAGTGAGTTTAGATGCCTATAGGATTGGGCTGCAGCTTAGCGGGAGTTTTGTGAATTGTACTGGTGCCTAAAAGCATGAGAGTCAGACACTTACGTAGCTTTGTGGGTCCCACCCTAATCAATTAATTATCCATGCTAAGGTATAATGAGATATTAAAATCCCCACACTATTACATACATCATTTATGTAAATAGCGGGCCAACAATATCAGATGCTAATTCACTTAGACTTCCAAATGTGAGTCAGTTAGAATCTATGTACCTCATTTGCCATTTGGAGTGTGAATTTACCTCAAGCTTTTTAGGACCAAATCCTGTTCCCATAGAACACAACAGTAAAACCTCTGACATGACGGAAAGTGGGATTTGGCTCTCACCCCCACCTGTGTGTCTCCTGAGTCTCTGAAGTAATCATCACTGCAATGAGGCTTTAATAACCTCGAGTTCAGAAATTTCAAAATCAACCAAAGTACCCCCCTTGATACCCACCACCATCCTCCCCCAATGAAAAATTCATGCATGGAGAACTCTGTAAATTACTAGATTTTAATCCTTTGCATATTCCGGGAACCATGTGTAAACATCTAACAACTTTTTTCCAGATTTCCACAAATAAAATTGTCAGCTACTTTGTATTTATTCCTGGTGTAGAAACAATGACCAAGCAATTAATCTAACAACATATTTCTAACTTTCTAAAATAGGAACGAGGATTTTTCTTTTTGAAACAAAAGACAGCCTAGCAATGGGTTTCAAATGCATATACAGATCATAGGTAGATTGGAAATGGAGCGCAAATATGGCTCTTAGAAATGCAGGCTTAATTGTGCAGTCTACAAGAGACTTTACAGTTTGACATTTTTCCAAAGTGTAACAACGATGTCCAAGTAAGTAGTCCAAAGGGACTAAGTGATGGTTTCATCCCGCACTCTTTCAAGGAGACAATGCACTCTTCAGCTTTCTATTAAATACTAGCAATGCCTGAGACCAAGGAGAAGACTCTCATGGATGCTGCAGCCTGATTTTGTAGATACACAGTAGGGATTTGAGCTGCAGAGTTCTGGGGGCGAGGCAGTCTAGAATCAGTCTCTACATACCATAAAAGGTGCATTACAGATAACAAAAATTAACTCATCTGGCTCTTCTGTTTTGAGATAATTTCATTTAGATACAAGTTATGACTATAAATTTAATTATACATATAATTCAAAGGGAAACATTACTGTATTTTGTACTTTTTTGTACCTCTACATTTTAAAATGCATTCAATTGGAGCATATAATACATCTGCTAGCAATTCATAGTGTAAAAGATGTAGAAACACACAAGCCTTGTATAGCATCTAACCAATATTATTACACTTATCTCATTAAGCTTACACTTGTTTTGAATTACGTTACCAACCACAGAATTCACAGAATTCATTAAGACACTCATTATTTACATCAAAATATTCAGTAACACAATATAATAGAAAAGAGCCAAGAGCTCACGCTCTTGTGTTAACCTGAATTTGTCTGCCTACTCATCTAGCTACGGTATTATTGCTTAATCAGGCCCCAAACCTAATAGAATAAACGCCCTCAAGAGTTTTTCTTCACTTGTTTTAATAAACATCTTGAAATTGCTCTCCATATTTGAACTGTTATATACATAGGCTTAACATCAAAAGAAAGCATCCTCCTTTAAGCAAAGCCGGATTGTACGAACACCTCAATATTCTAGATGTTAAGGCAGTATATATACACAGGAGCTATTCAGGGAGTAAAAATACATCCACAATAAGTGTAAACATTCTGGACAGACAGTCATTTTCCTTTTGCGAACTACATTTTATGTGTTGCCTGCATTTTCTGCATAAATCATAAGTTAATGAGTTATATCAGCAATACTTCAATAGATGCCTGGAACATCAGAATTCTTTTATAACAATTTATCATGCAGTGCAATAGATTCTAAGTAGCAGTAATACCTTCAGTCTATGAAGTTTTCCTACTTCCCATATTCCTTCCATTTTCTAACAATGTCTAACATCTACGTTCCAATAAGTTTTACAATAAATGAGCTCATGTATCCTGAGCTGCATAAACTCAGAGTTGTCAGTACATTCCATAGCTAGAATTTTCTGATTTCAGATTATTTTCTAGTTTCATATTTTAAAAAATGGAGATTGCTCAATGGATCCCGCAGGTCATTGAGTGTTGTTAACACTACAGCTTTACATACCAATCATTCAGGTTTCCTCAGGGACTCTGGCACATTTGCCATACTTTGTACAAGATCCCTGAGAATTGATCAAAACATCAGTATTTCACAACTCAAAACATGTTCAAGTGCTTGACATCACATGAAGTTCAAGCTAGTTTCTTATTGTTCTCTGTGTTATGCACCAAGGCTAAAAATTCCAATATGAGCTTCGCTGTTTTCCTGGGCCGCTCTACTACCACAGAGTGTCCACAGTTTTCCAAAATATGTACCTGACAGTCAGAAATGGATTTTGCTAGAACATCTGCTCCAGAAACATCCAGAACCTGAATGACAGAAAAAGTGGTAAGTACCAAAGAAAACAGTTTCAGACACAAATCAAAGTTTTTACTGGCCATTCCATGACCTTGTTTGAACCATCTCGTGTGTATTTTACATCAAAGTGGGATACTAAATTACCATGGAATGCATTTGTTTCCCAGATCAGATTCTTCAGGCACAGCGTTATCCAGACATCTCCCTCTGGCCATCCTGCAGCATGTACAAGCCATGCCCGGGAGTAGAGATAATTCAGGCACCAACCACATACAACGGAATTTTACTGGTTATAATTTAAGCATACTCTGTGCATGTCTGTACACATGCATGTGCGTAATTAAGTAAAACATACACCTCCACCCCCTGTAGCACAGTTTTAGAACCAGGTGCTAGCAGTTTGCAGGCAAAAAAATCTTTGTTCATATTGATCAGGGAAACCATTCTAAGTCCCTAATAACAATTACCAAATGTAATGAGCACCAATATGAATAGAACCCACCACCAACCCTGTTCCACTGACATTTACCACAGACCTCACTCTGGTCTCCACTTTTATTTCCATTTCACTTAAACTTCCCTATCATTTAACTTGGCCTACAAGCACAGGAGAGGATTTAAAGTTGGTCAAGATCAACCCACAGAATGATTCTCTCTGGCTCCTCTGCTTGGTTTAGGGGTCTATGGCAACTCAGAATTCTCTGAGATAGCCACAGCCTTAGCATGAGCTCTGCTTCCCTCTTAGCTGGTAGCAGCAGCAGCTCCAGAAGCACTGTCTCCCATCCATCTCTCCCAGTAGCGGGGGCTGCTCCCTGCTCTGGTACAGAACTGGGGAAGAGGATTAGCAGGATCCAGAAAGCCCACACTCCATGGCAGACAAGCATATGAAGGGGGAAGCCAGCCCAGACTAAGCAAATCCTATTCCAGCTGGACATGGCACTTATTGGCAAGTACAAGCAGCCTTTGGGTGGGGTGGGATGGGAAACAGGAACTCACATGGGGAAAGGAGCTATTACGAGGGCACCTTTTGCAAGTAATACACTCTAAAAAAATAAAAAAAAGAGTGCCAAGGTCATCATGCCTTTTATTTAAAAATCCATCCAACTTCCAGCTGGTTCCACTCACTTGTTTGAGAATATTACATTTCCCCTTCTATGCCACAGCACAGGCCCCAATGTTGAGCTCCCCAATAGCTGTGATTGGGGGCAGAGCAGGGCAGAAGTGGCTCTAAGTTACCCTTCTGCTCCTGTATTCCAGGGTTGTTTGGGAGTCTGCCTGGCTCCTAGAAGAAGCTAAAGCAACCTCACTGTTCAAGTTCAAGCTTTGCTCACAGCCTCTTACGAGCTGTGGGAAGCAGAAGAGAGCCAGAGAACATACTATACTGGCCTCCCTCCCATCTCTGAAAGCCCTCTGTGACAGGGACTGGCATAGGGTTACTATGGCAGGAGAGCTCCTCCCCCCCGCATTTCCACCACCTCTATGCCACCACAACCCTGTAAAGGAGCTCAGATGAAGGGGAGATATGACCTTATAGCCTCACTTCTATACAGCTCTGCCCATGCTTATGCCTCAGTCTCTTTTCCTTTGCACGAGTGCTTTACACACATTATTCTCCTTTCTCCTCTGCACGTGTGCACACACACCCTTCTCCTCTCTTCACATTCCTTTTGTCTCCTTCCTAGTCTTGCATCTTTGTGCCTTTTTTCCCCTTCTGCCACCTCTCTCTTCCTTGTTGCCAAGACAACTCTTTTTTTTTTTTTTGCCTCAAAATTCCTCTTCCAAGCCCACTTTTTAGCTTTCCACTAGCTGCTCCCTCCCTCATGGCAATTAACCAGACAGAATCTAAGCTCTTGGTAGCCAGTTCCCTTCCCAGATCTACTCTCCCTGTTGATGGTCTTCCTTCCAATCATCCTTCATAGACTCTCATATCTACTTTGACTGGGAGATCCACGGGACAGACAGGCCTGTAAAACACCATGCAAATCACTAGTGCTGTGTAAATTAAAATAATAGCATCTGTAACCTACAGTCTTCTAGTTCATTAGTGGCTCATGCAACATTCATAGAGATGGAAACAGAGCACCAACCTTTGCATAAAACAATTAAAATAAATAAAACAGCACAGCAGAAGCAGTACCTGATCTTGTTTTCCCCAGATGATCTGTGTTGGGGCTTTGATCTTGCTCATGTTTTCATGGAGAGCATGTCTGGACTTTTCATCTGCAATTTCTAAAAATACTTTTCACCAGAGAAGAATTAGTCAAACACCAGTAGGATTTGTTCCATTTACTGCTAATCAGCACAGGCTGAACCCTGAGGGAATGATTTCCTTTATTCTTTCAGCAGGCTCTGTCGCAGCCAATGCAGGTCTGCCTGAATAAGGAAAACCTGCCAGAGGGGGCGAGAGTGGAAGGAAAAATCTGCAGAGTGCTCCTCAGGGGGACTGTACCCCAGCTGGTCCATGGGAAGGGCAAGTAGGGCCTGCCCACAAACTGCAGATCCCTTTAGGATCCATCAGTGGAGTGACAGGATGTCTGGCCTCTAGCATGACAAGATTCTCCCACAGTTTCACTCGATGAGCAGGTGTTAATTAAAGCTGACCAATAATTAGAGCAGATACAAACAGAAGCGAGGAACTTAACTGTTCCAGCCAAGGAGGGCTGTTATCCCAAGCCAGGGAGCTGGGAGAGGGGCACACCCATATTCTTTTAGTGAGGAGGGGAGCTGTATTCCCCTCCCCATGACTTCCCCTTTGTTTCAGCCCCTGAAGTCGACAAACTGAGGCAAATACAGCTCCTGGGTATAAGGGAGGAGGGATAGAAAAGAGCCTGGTATAGAAAGGCCCTGAGGAGCAGCAAAGACCAGAGGGAAGGATCTGGCTAGGTATGAAGGTAGGGTTTTTCTGGAGTTACCATTTAATAAACCTGATGGGTTGTTTTCTTTTCCTTTTTTGGGGATAGGCCCTCTATGAGGACTATGTAGTTTGTTTGGAGCAGGGTGGGACTGTTCAGCTCACAATACTACAGGAAAGAGGGGTGCAGATTTTGACTGTGTCCCTCTACCCATAGCTCTGCAGGAGGCTGACTGCAAGAGGGGTGGTAATGCATGTCCCAGAACACTGTCCTGCCCACTCCTCCCCCAGCAGACAATCACCACACCAGTAAAAGCACCCACCACAGGGAAGCACTGCTCTGGAGACAACTTGGTCCCCTTCTGTATGAGAGGGAGAGATTGGTATACAAAAGGGCATTTAGGCTCCAAATCAAGAGACTTTGCACTAGTTCTGCTTTGCAAGAACCACACTTACATTTTCGGTAAAATTCATTATGTGGGATGCGAACATCAACGAGACCCTGCAGGATCTAGAAACAAACAAACAATGTGTATCAGGGCAAGAACAGACACGTTACACACGCTGCCACTCTGGAGTGACAGCACCTGCAGCCATTTCCTGGGGACACTGGACAAGACTAACCAGGATCTGACTCTGGGACTTGGACCCTGTCTGGTCTGTCCTTTTGTGCACTACACAATGTAATTATAGCACAAACTTACTTGGCGACACCCTCTGATGACAGGCTTTTGCCGTCAGACTTGGGGAAGAAGGCTCTTTTGTACCGCTGCAGGGCAGGAGAGAGTAAGCATCTTATCCGGAAAAGACCTGACTCCTCACAAAGAGGCTATAAAGCTTGTCGGATAAAAAGGAAGCAGAGAAATGCCTTTCATGTTGTGAGCTGAAATTTGTATCAAGCCAAACTATGAGCTCTTGCCAGATTGCCTCAAGAATGATTATACATCATCTTATAGTTCCTTTCCTCCTATAATCTATTCTTACATACTGGACAATAACTTTTTGTCCATCTAGCTCTCCCTGTTATCTATATTTACTAAAATCATTCGGGACTTCCCTCCAAGCTGCCAAAGAATTTAAATCCTGTCCACAGGGAGGCACCAGGAGAGCATGGCTGGAAAAATCTGAAAGGAAAGTGGTCTCAACAGCAGTGAAAATAACTTAAAACGGCTTACAGGTACTGTCCTATTGCAACTCGGGTTTTTATTTCCAGCTTTTTATTTAGCTCCTGGCTGGCTTTTGCTGCAGCTCAACCAGCTCTTGCCGGAGCTGTGCACCTGGTTGCACTTGCTTACTTTCAGCTCTGACTCTGAACCACTAAAGATACTAGTTAGATGCAGAAATTGGGGAAAGGTTCTATAGCCTGTTTTATACAACAGGTCAGACTCATGAGGATGATCATAATGGCCCTTTTTGGACTTAAAGTCTATGGAAAATTAGAGACCTTGGAAAATATTCTCCCACTAACATTCTCCTCCCAAAGAGGGATAAATCTCCAGAGGAAGGCAGCATCATTGGTGCAAGAGACTCTTCCCCCTCCCCAGCACTGACGGATGCTGTCTGCAAAAGTTGCTGCAAAGAAGTTACATTTCTGAGCAGAAACCTTCTGAAAGTTTCTAGGAAGACAAAAAAAAAAACAAAAGGTGACTTGTTGCTATTGGTAGAACTATGCAAATGCCAGACCTTCTACACTCAACCATCTGTGTGCCCATTATAATTAATTCTGGTTTAATAAAATGAACTAGGTCATGAACAATATGTCCCTTTGTAAAGATCTAATTTCATAGATACTCAAATGAAGGGCTAGTCATAGGGACAATATCTCCCAAGCTGATTTGGAGCACAAGAAGGGGAAGAGAAAGGGATTTTGGCAGAAGTCCCACATCTTCTCATTAGCTTTTTCAGTCCTTTCATGAAGGCACAAATGCCACAATCATATTTCTGAAAACATACACTGATATATTTCTAGGACAACAGCAGGCAAATACCGGCTCCCAGGACAGATCTGGTTCTCCAGGGTTAGCCCCTGGCAGGCTACAGCCAGGTAATGTGGCGAACTGCTGCTAATTCCCCACTGACGAAAATTGCTTCAATGATGTGTTAAAGCATGCTTGACCTAGTGAGAACTGCAGGACTGGACCCGAATCAATGTAAAACACAAACTCCTTGTCCTTATGGACAACTTCAAACTGTGTCTTAGAAGTGGCCAGTATTCTGTGCAAAATGCTAAGAGCTCTTTCTTTCTCCTTCCATAAATAGATAGCAATGTTGGAGAATTATGCTGTTCTAAGCTCCATCCTAGAAAGTGTGATTTCAGTTTCATTGCCTTTCCCACAAATGTTCTGTTTAAAATCCTTGGATTTCAGTAAGAGGCAGGCTTGCACACTCAGTTTCTCTGTGAGAGCTATTCTGCTTATGGCCCATCCTGTGTCTACTATCTACATCTACTATCTTCTGTAATGATTAAAGAGGATGCAACTGACTAGGATTTTTTACCTGCTGAGGTACTTTAAAACGCACATAAGAACAAAGCTTCAGCATGTCTGCCATTTCCTCAGGTGTTGATGGAATTAAAGGAACCCTGTCCATACGTTCAGACTCTTTCAGCTCCCGCAGTTGCTTAAGAAATTTGTTATCAGTTGGATATGGCAGGCCTATGTATAACAAACAAAAATAACCACATGCTGAAATAATATTAGCACTAAACACAGTGCAAATACACATTTGCTTTGTGTTGCTCCCAATCCCCCATTCCTCTGAGGATGAACTGAGACCAATGCAGCATAATCAAGATACAGTTTGTTACTGAAATACAATGGCATATCTGTCCTGCAGGAGTTTCTCAAATGGAATCTGCCAATTTTACCTTTTTGTGTGAAGTGGATGAAAGAGAAGAGAACCTTTGTAATTTCTGTTAAACCAGAATTTCAGCTTCTTTGCCAGTCTTCTCACAAAATAACTTACTATTTTCCCTCTCTCTCATTCTTTGGTAGATCTTGATTTCTCCTGTTTTCTAATTTCCTGATTCTTTTTCCTAACCTTTTTAAAGAGACTATTAACAGGAACACCATCACTTCCCATAGGCCACAATTTACCTCCTCTCAAAAAAAAAAAAAATCAGTGAATCTCATTGCCAGTTCCATCCATGGAACTAAATTTTTATGACAGTATGTAATATATTATGTAAGACATATTCTATGCACAATACAATATATTCCCAATGATTGCAGTTCAGCCAGAGGAACTCAATTACCAATTTCAATAGCCTATCTGCCTGCTTACTCATTCAACCAAGGGGGGAGGGGAAATATCTACACATAATACATGTTGCAGTATTTAATAAATGACATCCCAGTCCTCCTTACTCACCATAACTTTGACCCTATTGTTCATCCGTCTGGTTGCCTCCCAAACACAATGCAGAGAATTTCTCACTTTAATAACACAGGAGGTGCATATCCTGGATACACTAACAGTGCATTACACCAGAGAACGCCATAAGCAGCAGCAGGGAGGGGGGTACTCCATCAAGGATGTGGAAGGAAACACACCAGGGGAGCAATGTGCATATAGTGGGTGCAGGGAAAGTCAGGATACATTATGACAAATACTCATGTGATGCATGAATATAATGGAATGGTAACACTATCAACAGCTTTTGGGTTGAACACACAGATAGAAACAAACAAACAAAAAATCCTGATGAAGATAGAAACAAAATCTCCATTTTCTATGATCTTTTTCTAATTATTTTGTACAGTTAAGCTACAACAGGATGTGGTAGAGCCCCTCATGACTTGGGACATACTATTAGCAGGTAGCCACAGCAAACCATGCGTCAAAACGAAATCCCAGACCACGAACTCCTGATGCACTAGCACTTTATTTCTGTATGCTTCATTTGTTAAGCTAACCCTCGGTATTGGGAAATTAAAAAATGAACACTGCAAGGAAAATACAGAACCAATGGAGTTAAATAATTCTTATTAAGTGACACTATTGGCCTCACACAACTCTTTTGCAAGAAGGTTTTCCCCAACCAGTTCTACAACAAACCTCTTCACCCGTGGTCCCCAACCCGGTGCCCGCGGGCGCCCTGGCGCCCGCCGGGCTCTTTACATGCGCCTGCGGAGCAATCTGGGCTGGCAGGTGCCAGCCCCGGGCGCATGGCCGGTCCCGGCCCCGGGGGCGCCGCGCGTACCCTTGCCAGCTCCGGCGCCGGCCTTGGCCCCGCCCCCAGGAGC